AAAACTACTTCACAGGTTGGTCGTAGTGAAAAGTGATCCTTAGTGTCCTCCAGACCTAGGGGGCTACTACCTGCAGGTAAGGCTCTGCGTCTATGTAGATAACAGCACCCCATTCTGCACTTCTAGTTTATCGTACGCACGCAGGTATAACTTTGTGCTGCGTGTTTTCATTGTACATCTACCATATTACGATTATCACAATTATTTTTCCCATAGAAATCTGTGTCCAAAATAGATGTGGTTGTAAATTATTTTCTTTTAAACACTATTAAATGTTATTTAAAGTTTTCATCTGCTAATGACGTTTTTACCTCCTCGGGCCCCCCAGTGGCACAGTGGTATGTTTGCGGACTTACAACGCTAGAAACCGGGTTTCGATACTCGTGGTGGGCAGAGCACAGATAGCCCTTGTGTAGCTTTGTGCATAATTAAAAACAAACAAACAAACAATTTACCTCCTCGGTGGCCTATTTTTACATTTGGCACAATGACTTGTACAGCCATTATGTTCCAAGGACTCGTGGACTGGCGAGAGATAAAAGAATATTTATTTGGCACTGTCATACTGCTTCGATGGCAGCATTGGAATTTGAAGCTATACCTTTCAATATTGTTAAATGTACAATCATACTTTTTCACTATAATTGTGAATTTCCTTTCATACTGCTAGTGGCAGAAGTTGATAATTGCCATAAATGTTTTCTTAGTTGTTAAACAATGTTGTTCAGGAGCATTAAGTTTCCAAAATCCATATGCCTCACACTATCTTCTTCTTGAAATGAAACGTTTCCAATGTCACTATTACTGATATCTAGACTTATAATAAATGAACAGCCATGGATAAGTAACACTAGAACGTTAACTAGAGCACAATTTAGTGACAGAAAAGCTTAATTACATTCGTTTGTAATACTGCTATTGAGAAGAAGTTGGCCGCAAAGCACTTGTAATAGAAAATATAAATGAGATAACTCCAAACTTCTTCCTCATTTGTAGATTTGGCTAATCTTTGACTGTCATGGCCTTCATAGGGGCTGTGGACAATCCATTTCTTCTTACTATATACCTTAAAATATCTACTGATATATACATAAGTACATACATTTTCGATTTCAGTTTTAAATCTGCTTTCCTATAATGTTATACCAGTCTAAAAGTTCTTAGCAGCAGCATTCATATTACGTAAGAAACTGGACAAAATAATAGTCTACCTTTTGTAGATGTACTTGTGAAAAATGATAGATGGTAATTTAATAACATAAGTTTATAGAAAACATTTCCCTGTTGTCATGCCGCCACACCAAGAATCATTAAGTAATATAAAAACAAAATATTTCTCAATTTTATACTTATGTTTACAGAACGTTGAAAATTTGTTCTAGACAAGAAAATGTATGTCATGAATAATTGTTAATTAAATATTGCCACGACAGCGGAAGTCACGTGACGCTAGTAACACGTGATGAGTTTCTAGAAGGATCATGAAGGCTCGGGTGTTTGCCAGACGCCCTCTATTTTAATATATAAGCCCGGCAAATAAAGTGGAGATAATAACTGCAGATAGAGAGATAGAGACAGATAATTGAGTCAAGTGAGCGATAGTGACCGTAAGTAAAGTGCGTGAATGGTTGTGGATTATAGCGTGTGTTAAGTTAAAGTGACTGTGGAAATTAAGTGTATTACAAAGTTTATAACGAGAAAGAATAAACTAGTTTTAATTAAGAAAGGACTTGTATCGCTGAAGTTCTTCGGAAAGAATTTTTACGGGAAATTAACAAACGACCAGAGACGTAACAATATTTTAGCGGTTGAAAGGGGATTTGCATCAAATATAATAGAACCATTAATAAGTTTATAAATAGTTTAATGTTAGTTAAAATACTATATCAAAATCTGTTTATGAGAAAAACTATAAAACTAAACTTTAAAGACACCGTATATCCCAGGATGAACAGATCATTTATTTAATGTTTTGAGAAACAACAAAACTTTTGTCCCGTACTTAAACCTATGAACAACGTTAGGAAATGTTGGGGAACATCAAAGATAAAATAAATAAAATAAAACAAGACTGGGATTTATCAAATAGAATGTGATTGTGTTAGTATTTACATTAGTAAAACTAAAAGGAACTTAAAGTACAGATTACAAGAATATAGAGGGTAAGTAAGAAATAATAAAATAGAAAACTCAGCTATAATAGAATGCCTACAAACAACACAACATACAATTTTATGTCACAAAACTACAATCTTAGCTGAACCAAATAACGACAAAACTTTAAATATCCAAGAAACATTAGAAATAACAACATCTAAAAGGAAAGAAATATATATTAAATCGAAAATCGAATACCATCAGTTGCTTTCATTAATATATGGCACGACATATGGTAAATGTTAACCAGTAAGTTATGCAATTAATTTTGAAATGCAATATCTTATGACATACATAAAGTGTAAATTTTCTTGTAAATAACTCTTGGAGACAACGCAGTAGTGCATCGAAATAAAACATGTAGAGTGTTTTAAGTAAAAGCTGTTGACGGCTTTATTACAATTTAATTGAGTAAATATGAATCGTTGCATTTCAGTATTTCACATGACTCAAGGGCCAGTCATTTGTACTTAGCTATTTGTTTGTGCTTGGATGTATGGTGGTGGAAAAAAATTAATGCATAACGTATTTTTTTCACACTTCACTTGGTTTCTGTAATTTTTTATGAGATTATCCATTGTGGAAGTGTCAGAACTACTGTAAAGTGATTATAGATATTGTGTGGTCTAAGCTGACTCCTATTTCAGTCATCCAAGCATATATGCATCTTTATTAACAAACAAACCGTGACAAGCGTAATACAGTAGATGATCAACAAATACGAAAATGTTCTTTAAGTAAGTAAACCTAGATTTAAAGATAACGCCACTAATGTAATTGACAAAAAGTGGTCACAGAATTTGTTTCTTGTTTTAATATTTGGATGTGCCCCCTCTAGCCTTGAAAACTGCTTGAAATCCCTGTGACAAAAGATGTATGAGGGAGTGAAAGTAAGCAGCAAGGCCGACGTCAGCACTCGGGCTGCCCGGGACCCATACTTTATACAGGGGTCCACTGGAGGAACAAAAAATATACGACTATATAAATTTTGTTTTACTAAACCATTAGCTTCATGATGTCACAAGCGAACTATCACTTCTTGTAGTTCCAAGAAGTACCGCTTCTCTCACACTTTGTTACTTTCTAGTAATTTTTGATAAGATTGAGAACTGGATTGGTGCCTGGCTACTATAGTGTCTTGATACACTCCCATCAAAGATAATCCTTCACCTAAAGCAATGAAATAAAATCTATGTGAAAATTTCGCTATTTCACGTCTACTATGTAGAGTGCATGCATTTACTAACCTTTTTATTCTTGTGGTGTGGAGAAAAGTCATCCTAGAATGTGTACTGGTCATCTCCACTGAAGTAATCGCAAATTGTTGGCTTTAACCAGAAATTGAAGATTTCGATTTACTTAATGGCATCGATAGTATCTTTCACAGAATGCAGGCATCCCACATCCTGGCCAGAGATACATCCCCATATCACCTGATACCGTGGACACTTCACAGTTGCATTCGAACATGCTGGATGAAACATTTCTCCACATCGACGTCGTACAAAGTGCTTCCCATCAGACCCGTGAGGGTTGAACTTTGATTCGTCGGATAAGATCATTTTGCTCCACCCTGCTTCAGTCCAGTCGCCATGCTGTTTGGCCAGGTGAACCTCATCTTGTTGGTGAAGATGGATGTCTTTCTTGGCCGTCTTACTGGGAGACTGGACAGTTTGCGTGGTGACAGTGATTCCTAAAATTTTCTGCCAGGCTCGTTTGAGATATGTAAACGATAACTGATGATTCTGCAGGCTCTTGCATTTCAGAACACAATCTTCAGCCATTGTGGAAACTTTCTTCCTACCCCTCCCCTTCCACTACTCCACACGTCCAGTCTCTCTATATCTCTGCACCCAGCATTTCCCAGTATACTGATTAAATTTAATCATTCTAGCAATCTGCCTTTAAAATATTCCTCTTTGCTCAAAGTAACAATTACTTCTTTTTAATGTGGAATTAAGTCGCAATCCTTAACTATGGTATCATCTCTCTCACACACACGCTGTAGCAGATAGGATTCTAAACTAAATTTCAGTAATAACCTCCATTTATGGTCAAGAAACAACTGATGCAATACTCAGACAGCATATAAAGCTACTAATGTAATAATTAGACAGTCCATGAAATACATTTGCACCTACGTGCATTAAGGCCTCAAAACACACGATTATTTCGAGAAAAAAAGTGTGAAAAAATTTGGCGACGCAATAAATTTTGAACCACTGTAATATAGCTGAGGTGAAGCTAACTAACCTTGCTAAAAGAGAAGAGTCGGTCTGGGCTATCTGATCACATACGCCCGTGCAGGAAAGAGGCGCAGGTTGGCCTTGTTGGAAAACTCTGGATTTCTGCATTTTGTTCGAATCCGTGCAACCCCATAATATCCTCGTACTTGAAGCTCTGGGTGCATTATAAGAATAGCAATCAAACCCATAGCGTGGATGATGAGTGGTAGGGTGCTGCTAACTGGCTGTTTTCCTTCTGGTCCGTACTTCAAAATTAGGGATAATGGCCGTTAGCCTTAGTATCTTTGCCATAAACACAAAATGCAAATACCATGTAAGAAGTGTATAAATGGAGCAATAAAATAATATTAATTAATTATTCGAAAACGCGTAAAGACACTTAATAAAATGAAAATAGTGAATTATTTAACAAAATCGTCTGTAGGGAAAGTTCTGTCACCTAGGTTCATCACTGTTTTAGGTCGCTTTTGGTTAACAGCTGTGTAAAAAGAGTGAATCAACTTTGACTCTAATCTTCGCCTAGGCGTGTTACATCACACTTATTATTAACATTACCACTGAAAGACATAGTTATTATTTCGCCTTCTCTTTCTGTAGTGTGTGGGTTCATATTCAACAGCACAGAACACACCAATGGGACTTTTACATCTCCAAATTATCCAGGAATCTACCCACGAGCTACAGAATGTCACTACTTCTTCCATGGCCGCCCAAGTGAACGAATACATCTGACGTTTGCCTACTTTGATGTTGAAGGAGTACCACCGTAAGTTTAACTAAACTGGATTATTTTATTGTTAAACTAATTTACAGGAGAAATGTTTTTCCGATAACAGAGCAGCTCAATATGGCTTGTTTCTTTGTTGTTGTTTTTTAATTTGCTAATTTTAAATTGAATAACTTAGACATCTTTATGAAAGCAATCATTTTAAAAATTCGCTTCAATAACGTGTATAATATAAATGAATAAAAGCGTTATAATGAACTTTATTAGAAGTATTTGTAACTAGTTGTGTGATATAAATATGGCTGTTTTAGGTATATATAATAGCAATGACTGTTAGTTATTGGCCTTCACCGTTATTAGAGCTTTGTTTTTCGATAGCCTATTGGAAATAATGCCCCCGGAAGAGGACAAAAGGCCACCTGGAGTGGTCACCTGTTTTAACCACTTGTACCAGTAAATAGTAGTGTTGTCTATTAGTCAGACAGTAGAAAGTAAAATGACGTCACATAAGGGTCGCTTAACGTTGCAGTTTGTACTGTCGTGATATCAGTAAAACGTGGGTATGCCATGAATCACGAGAAGAATTATGCACTCTGTAAGCTACAACACAGTGATATATGAGCTTCAAATGCAAGAAATAAAAATATTTGTTACTCTTAATTTTGGATTTATTTACTCTTGAAACAGAACGCTTTCAGAAACCCTGCGAAAGTACATCTAGTTATATTTGTTAATGACTAACAAATATGTTTCTTTTCTGATTGGTCTATACATACAATCAATAAATATCTCTGTCAAAAATCTATCACTATCTACCAAAATGTTTGTTTTAAATAGCTAAATTTTATTTATAAGTGCTCCAGTTTCAAACTGCCGCTTGACACAAAAGTATTTTAAGTGTCTGTAAGGTCTAAAGGTATGTGAATAAACAGCTATCATTTGTCACAAAATATGGCCGAGTATGACCATGTGGTTAGGGCGCTCGATTCGCAATCTGAGGGTCGTGGGTTCAAATTCCCGTCCCACCAAGCATGCTCGTCTCTTCAGCCGTAGGGGCATTATGATGTGGCAGTCAATCCCACTATTCGTAGGTAAAAGAGTAGCCCAAGAGTTGGCGGTTGGTGGTGATGACTAGCTGCCTTCCCTCTAGCCTTACACTGCTAAATTAGGGACGGCTAACGTAGATAACCCTCGTGTAGCTTTGCGCGAAATTAAAAACAGACAAACAGATTGTCACAAAATTAACTGAGTTATAGAAGTGATACTTTAAACAAGTATTCCAGATAGACGTGAAATCTAATAGTGAGACTATTTCAATTACTTTTTTTTTTTTTGACACAAATGTATCTGTATTACAAAAAAATTCATTCAATAAGAACAAAAACAAATTACAGCTATAAAGGATGAGTACGTTATATTAAAATGATTTTGAATATGCAAATCAGCAAGTCATGTGACAACCATTACGGATATAGTCATGTACAGATCTACATTTTAAAATTGTTTGGCATTTCATCGGTAGAGTGATGCCATTGAAAATTAATCGCTTTTGTGAAAGGTATGTAAACAGCCCTTTCTAACCAGAATATTCATACATTCAGATAATAAGATGTGTTCATATCAAAGCTGCAGGGCCAGTGTAAAGATGCACGGTCGTCAGGTAAAACATGAACAGACGTGGCAACCTGGACTGTAACGGCGCGGTGAGGCTCCAGAATTATTTTAATATAACGTACTTAACCTTTTGTATAACTCTCAGTTAAGACAAATGTGTCCTAGTTAAATAAAAGCTTTCATTTAATACTGTTTTCCCGCCGAATATTGTGATCACTTTTGTTTTTTTTTATTGACAGATGCACTATGGAAACGGCCAGTGATTATGTGGAATTTTCAAACTTTCGAACCGTTGACCGCAAAATTCCTCGTCATTGTGGCCCCAAGAAACCTAAAACTATTGAATCTGATGGCGACTTTTTTCGAGTAGCCTTCAAATCAAACGATAAGTTTGATGGAACAGGATTTGAAGCATTTTATCAGTTTCGAAACTATGTTGGTGAGAACTATTTTTACTTGCATTTATTAACTTTTATTTAGATCAAAGTTTTATTCTCTCTATTTGTCCTAAAAACAATAATAATCTATTTTTAACTTTTAATAAATTCTGAAATTAACCTCTATTCTTATTTTTATTACAGTATCTAATCGTAACTGCAACTCAATGGTTTGAAAACACATCCACCTAGAAGTGTGTGGTGGTAGAATTGTATTTTTCTAAACTTTATTTGAAAATAATTTATTAATCACTAGCTATTTCTTTACTTAGTACAGTATCGATCAGGATCATTTAGATCCAGTGCTTCTCAACCGAGGTTCCGCAGAACCCTTGGGTTCCTCAACTGACATCCAGGTGTTCTGCGAGATATTGGTGGAATGCAAGAGTTCTGCATATTCTAATGCGTAACTACATACCAGTCACATAATTGTAATCCGACTACATTATATTTCTTTATCAGTATAGCGGGTTTTATAATGACATAATATAACAAATCACTGCATTATTTTAAATTAGTGAGTGAGTCATTAAAGTTTCTTTGTTTTGAATTTCGCGCAAAGCTACACGAGGGCTATCTGCGCTAGCCGTCCCTACTTTAGCAGTGAAAGATTAGAGGGAAGGCAGCTAGTCATCACTATCCACTGCCATCTCTTGGGCTTCTATTTTACCAACGAATAGTGGGATTGAACGTCACATTATAACGCCCCCCACGGCTGAAAGGGCGAGCATGTTTGGTGGGACGGGAATTCGAGCACCCTAACCACCTGGCCATGCTGGGTCATACTTATTAAAGTGTTTGTGGCATCCAAACTATGCAATGCAACTATAAGAACTGTGTGTTGGTTTTTGTCATGAAATATTTCGGATATTCACAACGTTTTATAAGTGTTTGTTATTTATTTTTGATATATATCTATATATTGGGAACCGTGGTGTCTGTCCGAGCGTTCGTCTGTCTCCCGGTTACGGCGGCCGCTTTCTGCACTGCGTTTAAAAAGTGGCGCACACAGGCAAAACCCAACATTCACTTTTGAAATGATGGGAGAAAAGGCATGAATAGTGTTGATGCCAAATTTTATTACACAAGCAGGATATTCTACATTAAATTGTTAGGACTTAATCACACTATCATTCACATTTCAAAATGTGAGTAACAAGAATGAAAATGTAGATTTACCATATATTATTGTTCAATGGCTCTTAGCATGACTGAAATGGTCAACAATACTTTTCGCGGTGGGGGGTATAAGTTGCTCAGAGCTTTGGCTCTGAGTGAAACCAAGAGTGCAACACAATTAACCTTTCTAAAGTCCGTCAAATAAATTAAATTAATAGATTAACTTTAACTTTTCCCGTCACTGGGAAGCTCCGTTTACACAAATTTGACGCTAGAAGAGTGCAGTAGATTCAAAAAGGTTGAGAATTACTGATTTAACGTAGTCGTGTATAGAAAATGAATAAATCAATAGTAGTGTTTATTCATTGGCTGGGTTCTTTCTTATGGAAAACAATAAATATCCCGTCTGATGTCTATTCTTCCCTTCTTGATAGGCATCTATATACACAGCGTGATCACAAGTAACTAGACACCACCTCTTCAGAAAAAATGAAACTTTTCAGTCATATTCACATGAACTGATATATTTATAACTTAATTAATATCTAGTAGATCTTCTTTTCGCTTCGTGGAGTTCGTTGATCCTTTGGTGCATCGTGAGAATCATCTCGTCAGTTTTAG